TTGATTTTTTTAATGGTGAATTGGCAAAAGAAAACCTGATATTAATGATAATAATGATAATAATAATAATTAAAATTATAATAACATTAAAATAATAATAATTAGAATTTCTCCAGTCAATGTAGAAAATGTGAAAAAAAAAACAAACATCAGTTTTTCATTCACATACTTTGTGACAACACTTTGCTAAGTAGCTTAGATACTATCTCTGGACAAGTGTACGCATGCTGCTGGCAGATATTTATGGATGCAATATTTAGAATGTCTGAGAAGCCCATTATGTAGACATAAAAGAAACACATCCTACAAAGCACTTCTGTAACTGAATTTCAAGAGTAAAATAGATAAAACCATTCTTATTAGAACTTTCATATCCCTCAGCTGAGCTTATAGGCTTGAAAATAGTGCTAGGCTAATATTGCACTTCATCTTTTGAGTCAAAACAATTCAGTATCTGACCCAATAGGACTGTAAAAAACAAATGCTATACCTTGGTAATCTGAGTGCAATCATGTGTAGTCTTAAAGTTTTCCTTTGTAAAAGGGCCTAGGAGGAGTTTCCTGAAACAGTGTCTGTACATGTGCATTCTCATCCACCCGAAAAACAATAGCTGGACAAGAAGAAGCTTCTGAAGGCTTTATGTTTCTTAATATCTATCTGGCCTCCCTTCAAAAGCTCTTGGATGTTTCCCATGTCATTGCCCAACATTACTGCTTCAGAAGAGTTAGATGTTCATTTTAGTCCAATACACACTGCCTGTGTACTGTGTTTCTCAGACCAACACAAGTATCCTGAATCTGGCAATTTTTGAAACCTGATAATCAACACTGTATTTTGTGTATTTGCTTTAAAGTGATACCAGCTAGGTTCAAGAGATTGGATGAAAATTTTAAATTTCAGTAGCAATGAGAAAAAGCAATCAAATATGTTCAGTTCCTTCTGCAGGCAAAGCTTACAAATTTGTTTCTTATGTATCTTGGCAGTACAGTAAAAAGAAAGAAATAAAAATCATTTGAGATCTATTTAATACTTTATTTAGAATTCAGTATTTTTAATGTAACTTTGCAGATTTTTGCAATCATGGCTTTTGAATGCTTCAGTTTTGTAGTTATTAAAACATTATTTTCCAGTTTCTTGAGGAGATCAGCCCCTCTCACAACTTTCTTTTTTTACTAGACAGAAAGGCATGATTTTTGATTCCTACTGTCATGTCACAGAAGTCATTGTCCTTTGTTTAGAGGGTTCTCTGAAACTGCTGTTTTATGATTGCCTTCAGTCAGCCTAAGATTGAGGCTGTGTTATTTAAGAGCAGATCATGAGGCACAGCCACATTCATGCATCACAAAATTAAATCAGCCATCTATTTAATCTGAAAACCACCCGTTTCATCTACTCTGTTCATACCACAGCCATTGAACTCTTCCCTAAAACTGAGATTCAATTGAGAAAAGACTGAAAACAGAAGATATATATCACAAACAATGCACTAGGAAGCTGAAGACTGATCACTATAGAGTGGTAAAAAAGTAACTATTACTTTTTATGTTATTTATTTTAAAGAAAGACATGTTTCAGAGATTATAAATTATTAGTTTATGCATGCTTAGCTTTTCTTGTATAGGACATTTTTGTTTTTATAGAGGATAGCTATTAGAAAAATATACCAAATCAAATTAAATCTCAGTTATGTTTTATCCTACATTAAAAATCATTCAGAGTTTTATGCAATTAGTCTGCATGAAAAATATCCAATATCTGAGGAATATCTGAAATAATTAAGTATCAAATTTCTGAGAAATTAGTACAGTTATTCATCTATAAACATCAGTAATGGACTAGGTAGGAAAAATGTTCTCCTCTATGGAGACAAAGAATACATTTCTCAGTAACTGCCTTTTGGAAAATAAAACAGTCCACATCAAAGTAATTTATTTAAGCCATTGTGACAATCTGAGTTAATGGTCTTCAAAACAACACTTTTAGACATGAGGCAATTCTGAACTTCAGGGGAAAAAAGAAGAAGAAAAAAAAAAGCCTTGTCTGAGCTTACAAATTTTTTCATATTGTAACGGCCTCCTCTGTCTTGACGTCCATTTATTGCCCATTGTTACTGCAAATACAGGACAAGGGGAAATGGCCTCAAGTTGCACCAGGGGAGGCTTAGGTTGGATATCAGGAAAAACTTGTTTACAGAAAGAGTTATTAAGTACTGGAATAGGCTTGGGGAGGTGGCTGAGTCACCATCGCTGAACTGTTTAAAAACCGTTTGGATGTGGTGTTCAGGGACATGATTTAGCGGAGGGTTTTTAAAGTTAGGGTAGTATGGTTAGGTTGCAGTTGAACTTGATGATCTTTAAGGTCTTTTCCAACCTGACCAATTCTATGATTCTATGATTCTAAATACCACAATGTTTTCACAGGCAATACACAACTAGGGCCAACGTTCACATCCTGAGAGCCTCATTGATATAATGAGCGAAACAGAAAAAAATATGCCTGCCTACCTATTTGTTTTTTGCTTTGCAGGGTTAAAGAAAGTTTGCAATTCCACAGCAGCGAGGTTAGCTGGAAGTAGCAATAGCTAAAAGTAAAATGAAATTTCAAGAAAATAAAGATCCCCCAGACAACCAAAACATCCTTTTACATCTCTGTTTATCTGACTTAATAATGAGGATTTGATGTGTTTTCTAACATCTTAATGCTTGCTTTTCACCAGTGACCAGTAACATGAAATGCCAGCACTGGCTTTTGTATCTTTGACCATCCTACAGCCAGGAATATTGTATCCTCATCTAGTTAGGACTTCCTCTCATTCTGAATGACACTCCTCTCATAGATCCCTGAACACCGCTATCAAATGCTAGGGATCAGTTTAACAAGCTACCCTGTCACACTTTAAGAGCTGCCTTCCTCACTGACACATAATAGCTGACCCTGCATGAATTCAGTGTGCTGAAAATAAATGGGTTATTTCAAGCCATTTTTAGCCAGAGTACCTGGCTAATCTGTTTGCTGTGACTTGCAAGGAGCAAGCACCCAGTCAGAGGGTTATTTCCACTAGACAGGTAGAACACTCTAGGAGATCCACTGCCATCACCCTGAGTATCTAAATCACCTGCAAAATGAAACATAGATGCTTGCTTGTATTTCTGAAAATTCTAGCATTTTCTCTCAGACGACAGTCACATTACTTTATAATACTTTTTAAAACTCTTCATGCTTTTAAAATGAATACACAGAAAAAATTACCTTGGCAACTTATTTTTTTTTTTTCCTGTTCTCTACAAAATAATCATCTGAAGACCATCTAGGGATTTTTTTCCTCATATATTACTTGCAGTAAATTTTAGAACAAGCTCCATTCTGCCTTGTTGCTTCAGATCAACAGGTAATTTGGAATCTAAGCTGTTATAATGGAACTACAGAGCTAGTAGGTTTTTAGAAAGAGGGATGTTCTTCATTTGAGAGCATACCATGTCACTAGTCTAATTCTACAACCATTTCATAAAAAAAAATTAAAGGGTATGACTCTATTGGACCCATATTTAAGCAAAGCTCTTAAGTTCATTAAGCATTTAAATCATTGAAACAAAATGTGCTTAAATACTTAGCTGTTTCAAATTATGATTATTGTAGTAATTAGTGTATGCTCAGTTATATCTTGTGAATACATGCTTTTAGTGCCTACTCAATAAATAAACTGATTAATAACATTTGCAGGAAGAAAACAGAATTAGCTTTGGAGTAGTGGAAATACTTTTTACAGTTAAAAAAAAAAAAAACCCTCTCCATGTATCAACATTGGTATAACTATTGGTATGGGTATGTTATTACATGTGTATCCCTCTGTATGTTTAACAGTACTTGACAGAAAATCTGATGTATGAGAGCATATGGTAATTCCTTGAGTGATTTCTTCTGGCCATTTGTTGGAACATTCTGAGGAAATATGCCAAACAGAAAACAGGCAGACTTCAAAACCAATGTCTATTCTGACATTTTGGTATCCTGGTTTGGGAATCAAGGCGTCCCTTGGGAAGGGATCATGAACTGGCACTCTAATTTAACTGTTTCTTCATTCAGTTCTTTCAGACTCTTTTCCAGGATGAAATCCAGGAGCATGAGATCCCAAATTTGATATAAAGATCAGACACTTTGGGATGGATGGAGCATGAATTTTCAGTGGCTCTTGAGTACTTAACAGGTTGAAAACACCTCTTTTCATGCTGAAATCTTCCCTGTGTCTGTGGAATTCTGAGACTATTATTAACTCCTGGAACTACTTGTTTGACATTATGAATTTGTAGAGGAAAGAAAAGAAAATGAATTTCAATAGTAAATTTAAGTTGTTCTTACTTAAAGTCCTCTTTCAAATATTTTTCCAAAATTTCTCATATAACTGGATATATAGTATACTGATTTACCAGTAACACCACAAAAGCATGAATCATGTTTTATTTTTTGTCTTTATTTTTTTCCTGAGCACTCATGTATAAGGTAAACACCATAAATTAGTTTACTGATTATTTAAACTCTTTTCCTTATTTAACCACTGATATCCACAATTCTGAAGTATATGTGCCTTTGCTTTAAGTCACATACTTTGTTGAAGTCTCATTACTGTATTTTCTTAAATTATGGCTCTTCAGAGACAAATTAGGAATCAAGAACTTAAATTCGCTTACAAGCAGGCCATTTCAAATATGAATTTTGGACTTACCATTTAATAGTGGACCATATTGCCTTCTTTATTTAGATCTGATCCCTAATAATTTCAACTAGACAATATATAAAATGCTGTGGCAGGTCAGACTACTGTATCATATAAAAACTTGCAAGCCTATACATGTTTGAGGTGTTTCAGTAAGAAATTTTTAAGAATTTCAGTAAGATTTATGGATGGTATCCATTTTCTCAGTGTATGACAGTGTACTTTCTAAAATAGGAAAAGACTGATATATTGTTGGAAAGATGTTGAAATCTCAATTGTGTACAATATGTCATGCTTAGAAACTAGATTTATTTGAAAATGTATTGGTCTAATTAATCTCAAGTAGGAAAAAATCACAATCAAGTAACAGCAATTGCAAAAAAGACACAGTTATGTTATCATCTTGATGATCTTCCATAGTATATTTCCACACAGGTATGATTTTAAAGTTAAATAAGATAACTATAACACACAGTTACCTATAAACTAAATACACATTGTTTTCCTCTGCTGCATCAGTAATATGAACTTCTCTTGAGTATGTATGGTCTTCTAGCTTTGTTCACATGTAGTTGCCGTTTCAGAATATAGGGATTTTTTCTTTTCATTATTTCCTTTTCTTGGCTTGAATTTTCTAGATCAAAAGCGTCTTGCTGAAGTAACTGTAGGATGTAAGAAAAGACAGGATATTATCATGGCTTTTTTTTCTACTGAAAAACATCAATTCCACAAGAGTTCTATTTGCCCCAAACTCAGACATTTCCCGAAGATCAGGGTACAGAGAAGTGATATTTAAATTCCACTGAAACTAGTAAGACCATTGGATTTAGCTATAAGAAAGCTGGTGTGTCACTCTGGAGCTAAATATGACTTAAAGTTTCCTTATCACTGTCACTCAGTAATGGTTAATTTATCCTAAAAACCTCCTAAAACACCCACTCCTTGCTAATTTCAGATTTTGTGGAATATTTTTATCACAGAATTTCTACATTAAAAATCAAAATGTGTAAAAAGAAAGGAAATAAAGTACATGAAAACCAATTTTTTCAATTAAAATATGTTATTTAACTGCATTTGAGTTTTATTTACAGTTTTTTAAGTATTTTCTTCAGATTTATATTTGCTTTATCTATTAAGATTTCATCCATTCTTTTATCATGCTCTTCCATGGCCAGGCTGAAAAGCATTAAGCTAGAAACATTTTAGACTCACCTCAGTATTTTCCTAAGCAATCAAATTCTGTTAGTCACTTAATTACTTAATAAATGAGTGCTCATCTAAATCCTGTTGATATAAATGGAAAAAACCTCATGATTTCAACAGAGTTTGGAGTCAATCCTGGATGAGTAAGATCGCAAGAACTTGTTTCATTATATAAAGTGTTTATTTCAAGTCTTCTTCAGTTCTTCTCTCTCTAGCTCTATTCTTTCTCCCCCTATTGCGCCTCAGAAAATTTTGCACTGGATAACCATGCTCCTAGGTTGATACAGAAGTATCCTTTTTAAATTTCACATGCAGTATAATTAGAAGTGGAGCTTTGCAACCACCACAAACGATGGTACAACTATAAAATAAGGAGCCATGATTAAGCCAGGCTATGGCACGTGATTGATTCCATGGTAGATCCTTTTCAATAATAAATGTACCAGTGAAGAATCCTCTGAAACATCTGGTTCTCAAAGATGCAGTCTTTTTTATGTGTCATCCTAGATGGTATAGTGGACTGAGAACCCTAAGCAAACACATAGCTCTGCTTCAGCAGGCAAAAGGGGATCAGGACTCAGTCAAATTGCCCATGAACTGTGATAACTGAGGAATCCTGGTTTAGTGGAAAGCAGGTACTGATATTTAGACATATTTGTTTTGTTGGGGTTTTTTTTACAGCATGACTAGATTCTGTCCAGTGTGTTTACGTGAATGTTACAATAAGGTACATATCACAGATGGATCACAAAACAATTACTATTTAGGAGTAGCAACCCTAAGGTTTGGAGGGACAGAAAATCAGGATTTCCCTTGCTATTAGTTTCTTAGCAATTATAAAAAGTTCAGAGTACCTGGTAAAATTACAGGTATACATGGGCATGTATGTATTTTGAATCCTGTTTGTCTTAGTGCCCTTCAGAAACTCTGTGTGAATTTACCTATGCTTGAATAAATCTGCAGTAATTTCATGTCTGTTAAGCACATATTAATTTTGCGCTCTGGCTCATTTTCGTATGTTTATTTCATTCCTTGGTATAGTTACAAAGAGTGGAGAAATTATGTAGTTAAGGATATTTCACATTTGTTCACGTGTCTTTCTCCAAAACAGATATTCACCTCTTCAGAAGCTATATTAAGTCACAACTCTTTCACTAAGTGGTATATTATCAGTATTAAATATTAGAAAATAGCAAAAACATAGGATAGTTTAGACAATGTGATGGGGTAATTTAAGCCAAGAGCACCTAAGATCTGGAGGAACACTTGGGATCTGAAGTATAAAAGACCATTGTGACGACAAACAGAGCTTGAAAGTGTAACAGTCGTGGAAACATGCACTTGTGACACCTCATTTTACCTCCCAGTGCTGAAAGGCTCTGCTGTGGCAAACTTTTTGGAGTTGATACACTGTCAGCATTGCTTCCAAGCTGAAGCCATCCAGCGCAGCAGGGAACTGTCTTCCAGAAATGAGATCCTCATCATCTACCTCTACCGTTTCCCCCACCTGGTTGTTCATGTTGTTGATAAGATTGCAGACATTTAGCAGGGTCACTTTCCAGTAAGAAAGTTTTGCTCTGTTCATCTGAAAATACAAATGCATGGTACGTAATGTAATGCAACTTTTGTTTTGTTTTGATTTGAGTGGTATTGTATGACATTCAAACATTTTGGAAGGAAGAAGCTTGTTTGTTTGAAGTTCTTTTCATCTGTCAAGCTATAAGACAATAATTAGAGCATGAAATTAGGACAACTCCTTTATTAAAAACACCAAAACTGTTTCCACACTGCTTTACCCCCCAAGTAGATATACATGATGGAAAAATAAACTGCTACCAAACCAGAAAGGTAGCATTTCATAGTCATTCTGCACAGGTGCAAACAAAAACACAAATGGAAATTAATATAATATAAATTCATAGGTGTAAATCAGGACAGTGAGTCAGACCCAGTGGATAAATTTCCAGTGCCAGATTCCAAGCTAGATGCCTGTGGTTAACTAGATGCTCCTCCCCAGTTCAGAACAAATAGCAGTCATTTCAAAATTCCTAAAGAAATGGAACAGAGTCCCTGCTTCAGGGCAAGTTGTCTGGTGAAGCTGGAGCCAGTGTTATGGAATCTGTAAGCCCCAGGGATTTTGGATACTGGAAAGTCATGAGTGTTAAGTGATGTGAATAGGACTAGGGGCTTGGATGAAGATGGAGTATAGGTGAAAGAGAGTTGTGCAAAAGACGAACTTGGTGGCTAGACTGAAATGCCTCATGAGATCAACTGTCTTTGGGTGGTCCATAATGGAACAATTCAGAGATGTTACAGGAAGACAGAAATAAAGAGAGAAATGTCACCATAATTTGATCCAATAGTTTACATTATTTCAGAGCAATTTGATTTTTAAAACCTTTAGAAAATGATAACAAGAATTTTTACTTTTTAATGGCACTATTTTAAGACAGTTATTGAAGTAGGTTTTTTTTTAATTATCATTAGAAATACCTAATTTCTATCTTGATCACTTTTTTCCTTCTCTGTTGTCTTTGCCAATTCCTTGGTTATTATCTATTTATTACCCTAGTCATTATTTCTTCTAAATTGTATCCCTCCTAGTGCTGAATATAGAGATTAGTTTCATTCAAGTAGAACCAGTGACACAGCAATCTCCAATCAAAAGTCAAATAGCAAATTCCTGTTTATTAATGGCAATTAATGCCCTTGAGGCATATATTAGGATGGTGCTCTACCTATGAACTGAAATGTTGTTGTTTCTTTGTCCTGCGTGTGTTAAGTTAAATACAGGTATTACATTAGTACAGATATTGCCTCTTACCAGCATTAAATAAGTGTGTGGATGCAGTTTTTACCTAGCTGAACACTGAGTAATCACACAACCTGCTGTTTGTTTACGGAAATTTTCTAACAAAGAGGTATTATATGCAAGATTTCTGCATATTTGCAACTGTTTTTTAAACTAAAAGAAAGAAAATGTAGATAAGTGAAGAAGAAACAAGAAAAGCTCTCATCACTAATAACAGTAGTTACAAGAAATTGCCTTCTTACCGTAATCATTAGTTCAGTATGCAACTAGTACATGCATGAATTTCAAAATGAGAGTAATTTAGCCTTTTTAGTAAAACTGCTATGTTCTTAGATTTCTATTAGGGCTTGGATAGCAAACAGTATTTTGTTTTGAGAAGAAACTAATCTCAAACCTTATTCAGAAGGTTCTACATTTTTCAATTTGGGCTCATGTGCTGTCTCATCTGGGCTCTCCACTCAGGCATCCCATCAGTCTAATTACTTGAAAAGTTGTGGCAGGTTCAAAACAAAATTGACATCTGTACAGAATGTCTGATTTAATTAGCAAAAGTTAATTTAGCCAAAAAGCAACTGTTCACTGAAGTTTCAAAATCTTTACTCTGTTTTAAAGTATTTGTGAAATGCAAACACAGAGCTTTTCTTGCCAAATGAGGAGGCTTTTCCAATACAATTCTTTCTCCTTGTATATGAAAGAAATATGAACTAGAACACCCCCAGCTAAACTGCAATGAAGAATAAAATCCAGGAGCAGTACTGTGTGAGAAAGTGAGAATTCAGAGTTGAAAACAAGACTATGCTGATGGATATGACTGGAAAAGAAAAGGACTAGAGAAATGTATTATGCTTTCCTGCTTAACTTTTAGAATCTTTTTGATCTGAAGTTATTATTTTATGTAACCTTGATGTATGTCTTCTTTTTTTAAGGAACATTTCTCTCTATATTAGCAAAATACCTAAATTGCAGTCTCCATTATGTGCAATTGGTCTTGGCTGCTACTTATGAGGTTAGGGAAAAAAATCTTACAGTGCTGCATGCAAGCATACTTTGTTAGTCAAGGGAGTCTAATTCTCATTAATAACATGCATCACTTCAAAGTATTTTCACTTGGATACGCATGCTTCTGACTTACACTGTTGCCAGCTCCCAGAATAAGACTATGAAGCATTAAGAACTTCAGTCAAGAGTGAAATAATTTTTTAACTGAGCATGGACCTCTCTAGATCATGTCCAGTTTCTGAACAGTGCAGGCATGTTACTTTCTTATAATCTACTTCTCTATTACAGCAAGTATTACAATCACACAGCTTTGTTTTATAGGTTATGGAAAATCACTGAAGAGGGCATGTTAAAAAAGTAAATAAACAAACAAAACCAAACCAAACAAACAAAAAACATGAAAACACAGTTTCAGATGACTGTAACGCAAATGTTCAGGTAGACATTCAATATGTGAAATATTTTCCACAGATGTCTAAGCAATACCAACTACAGTTGCTCAATGTATGTTTTGGAAAAACACCTACATGAGAGATCAAAGAAATTGTATCTGCCAAGAAGGAATAAACTGTTTTGAAGATTAACTTGAAAAAATCTAGGAGGTACCTGGTGGAACAAAAGAGACTGCCACATGAATCACAGTTAAAAATTATTAATGATGAAGAATTCATGAAATGAATATATGTATTTCCACTGTTAAACATGCTTCTGAAATATGACTCAGATATATGGTTTCCCATACCTTTTTAAATACTGAAAGTGAACTCAAAATTGTCTAAGAAACTGAAACAAGCTTGGGAATATTTCCCTCTTAGACAGTACCTTTTCCTGTGAAAACTACAGAGAATCTCAAGTGATAATATACATGCTTTTTTCTTTCAATTTATGGTTGAATGATGCTCCAGGACATTTTAATATAATTTTTGCTGTTTCTGTTTTGTAATGAATACCCCAAAAATGTTAATTAAAATAAAATAAATACAAATATTCAGTTCTCCTTTTTTTATAATCTTGCCTTTGTCTAGTGGAAGCAGGTGAAAAAGATTCAGGACCAAGCAAAATCCATGGTACTGAACAACTAGGTAAAACACCTGACTTAGCTTACAGAATTCCTGAGATACAATGCAGAGAATTGAGGGCTCGTTACAGTGTCTTTTCTGGTGTACTTCACTGTCTTTAGTTTTGTTTAATGACTTCCTCTACACAGAATAAGACAGGGAGACCACTTATTTTCCAGCAGTATTAATAACACATAAAGGACCCAGAATTACTTCTGCACTGTCTCTACATAGGTGCTTCAATGGTTCCTTTTCGGAACAGTAATTGAATTTTGTTCAAAACATAACAGTAGAAATGATAACAAAAATATTTTCTGCCTTTAAGTACATGAATTGCATCCTAAGGTTTTCTGTGATGTATACTAATGCTAACAAATGTAAGGACTTGCATGCAATAACTGAGTCAGGAAGTTAGAAACTCTTAGACAGCTGCAGCCTCATCTGCCTGATACGAAGGCTAAACTTTCTGGGTATATACAGTTAGGAACAGGCATTCAAGCTCAGAAGGTTCAAGATTTCATTAAAAATTGTGTATGCAGGGATCTCAAATGTCTATCCTAGTAATAATGATTCCTTCAAATAAACATTTTTTCCTTCTTTTTTTTTTTTCCTTGAACTAATAGCATTTCAGTTTTGTTTGAGTTCAAGACAGTCTTCATGCAAATGGTGGATTCACGTTAGCACATAAGAAGCTGTGAGTAGATGTATCTTTCTGATGCAAAAGACAGTCAGCAGGTAATCATTTGCATATTTGTGATACTTCAGATTATGTTATCTTACTAAATCTTCCAAAAGGCTCCTTGGACTTTATCTTAGAAGAAAGACATATAAAACTTTTTAGGGTCTTGCTTGATCCCTGTATCTTTGTTGAGGCATAACAGCAGGGAAAGGTGATAAGCTATATTAAATGTTGAAGGCAGTTCATGAAAGCATGAATGTAATTTTTTAAATATGGAGATATATTCAGCACATGGGTGACTTTAAAGAGTATCTTGCAAAAGACCAGTAGACATTTATCAACAGTCTGTGAAGTCAAAAGAATATGGTAAAAAAGCATATTTCCATAATATTGCATAGATTTGATGTCATACTTCACAAGTACCTACTTAGCTAGAATTTTTCTGTGAAATACCAGAAACATGAATGATTTTACTGCATTTTACTGCATTAGATCTGGGCTTTCATAAACGTATTTTTTTCCTTCTATTTTCCTTCCACTTTATTGATGAGAACCACTGAGTCTTTTTAATTGGCTGGATTTCCCTTGCTGATGATTACCAAGTCAGTGTTAAAGATGATTAATACAATTTAATGGTAATTGCTCTCAACTAGAGACTAATCTCAGGCACAAAGACAGTCAGTTATCATGCATACCATCCTAAAACTAGTCTTTCAAATCAGAAACATGGTTCTATTCTAATGAAGACTAAAAACTAGCAGAGGCCAACAAAATAATAATAATAATAATTTATTATTTCAGTAACAAATGGAATAATGATCTATCTCTTGTAGAAGTAGTTTCATACACCTTTTAAGTGGTTCCACTATGCCTTTACTGTCAAGAAAGAGTACATTTTATACTAATTAATTTAAAATAGTGATTTAAAATTCTATCGCTTAGAATTAAAATGTCTCCATCACCTATTGTTTCTGTCAACTTCAGGTGCCATGTCACTTGCAGTATATATACCATAAAGCCATTAAAAATTAAGTTACATGATGTAAAACAATGTGTAAAAGTATATAACAAACATCTTTGTATTATCAACAGGTGCACTTTATATGGGCATTTTTAGTTACCTTCAATTGCACTCTACAGTAAAAGAGAAAAAAAGATGGAAGTGGCATTTACAGTCACAGTTCCACTCTAATCAGTGGCAGCAATAGAATAGCTGCAGGGTTTTCTCCCAGGGCGTATTATGGTTTGGCAGGCAGAGAAAGAACTATTTAAAGAACATTAAAATTTGTCTCTGGGAAATAATCTCTATTAAATCTTTCTTTACTTTAGAGAAACCAGTGGCAAACAGGTTTGTTTGTGATCTACCATGCCAGTAAAGAATGTGGGAACTTAAGAACTGCTGGACCAGATCAGAACAATGTATCTTCCAGCCTCATTTCTTATCCTGGTTTATTCAAATGATGCTGTGGAAAAGCTCACATATAAGAAAATACAGTATAAACATAAGTCTTGCAGGCAGGTTTTTTGTTTCTTTTTTTTACAACTAGCCATTGGCTTATGATTTTTTTTTTTTTTTTTGAAAATTTTCAGAAGAATGTAGTTTTATTTTCCAGTGAAATCAAGCACCAAGAGTTAAATCATTCTACTTTAAGCCTATGAATCTTGTTTCAGAGTTTTTTCTTCAAAATATTGCTGAAGAAACACTAGGCTTAGATCACTTGTGGAAAATAACAGTACTGAGGAAATGTCTGTCAGCTTGTTCAATACATATGTGCAACACTTGCTACTTCACCTACATTAGTATGAGTTTGGAACAGAACTTTTGTCTACTTGTTTTAAATAACATGTTTATCATTCATCGTCTGGCTACCTGTCAAGGAAATGTCATTTGCCAGATTAATAGTGTCATAGTCATGTCCCCATGTTCTTGTACTAACATTATAATGAAATTCCTAAACCAAAATCAGCATATGTATTAACAGATTTTGCTTTATGACTGTCTTAATTTTATATGCACATAGAAAAAAATTTCCACATAAAAATCTCACTTAGAGATTTGACTAAAGGTTAATTTAACTTTCAGCAGGCATAATCTTATTGGAAACACATTTCCTCTTATAAATTTATCCCTCTACACATTTTTGACAGTTTAATGAAAGTATCAATGTTACACGTGAGGAACACTTTTTTGTGTGTGTCACATCAACACCTTTAAATTTCCTTTGAACTGAGAAAATCTTGCACCAAAGTGATGTCAAGCACTGAACTTTCAGGCCTGGACCATAGGTTATTGCTTTGTATGAAGACTTTTAGGTTTGTAATGAGAATTCATTTGCTTTCTAACCATTAGCTGAAAGAGGAAAAATAATTACCTTTGATGTATACATATTGGTCAATAAATCTGCTTCTAATGCTTTCATTTCCTCTTCTGAATCTGGGAATAAACCAGTAACATATGTTTATTATTTCATCATAAATCATGGACATTTGAATTCAGCAAGCAAAATATAGATATATAAATGAGGTTTTTTTGGGGAAAAAAAAAAAAAACACAACAGTAATAAAAGTGGATTCACAGCATTGTGTTCTAATGAGACTATAAGGAGGTTTTTGGTACCAAAACTTTATTTTGAAAGGGATATCCATCAAATTTCAAAGCATAATCAAGCTTATTGACATGAATGAAGGAATTCACTGTTCGCTCATAGACAGGCCCATTAATTTTCAGCTGTTTCAGTACAAAAACTGGTGCAATTTTCTTCATCCAAAATCAGACTGATTTTCTTAATTACTACTTGTCACCTCTACTAACTAACATTTACTTAGCTACTGTTTTTTGGGAGCAATTGCAAACATTCTCAACTTGGATCTTCAAGGTGTTTTTAAATGGTGACCAGCAAATTAGTGCAAAGTCATTCTACTACAGTCTATTGGAGATAAGCCATTCCTCTGGAAACCCTATGACAATTTCTTTGCTGAAGGGCTATGCTCAGATCTATTAGACTGTCTCTGTCTCCAATCCAGTCTGCTCTCACACAGCAGCCATCTATTCCCCGAGTCATTAGAGTGATCATCTTCTGTGCCTGAGTACAGTACAGTACAGCAAAGGAGAGATCAGAAGTCTCAGTTTTTAACCACCTTTATGCTTATCACTTGCTAAGGAAGTAGCTTTCTGGAACATTTTTGGCTTTTGCTTCTGCCGTATGTGAAAAATCATAGCATCTTCTAATACAAGTAAGGTAAAATAGTGTCCCCAAGTTCTTTGTCTCCTCAGACATTTCTACCAGTTGTGATTCTGCTAAAAGGAGTTTTTAATAGAAGTGAATATTTACTAAACAATCACTTTGCACAGCTGTACTGCTTCCATTTGTGTTAAAGTCACCAAAAATGTCTGTGCCTTATGTCAGTCTTTCTCTGCAGTGATGCTGATGTTCAGCTTTGCATTACTAGTACGCTACACTAACTGCTTTCACTTAAAAATTGTTACTTAAAATATTGATAAAGACTGGATGTCAGTACTGCAGCATGTCACTAGCAACTTCTCTATAGCTGATGCCTTTCAGCCCTTTCAGCACTACCTGTATTCATCATTACCTAGTTTCTCAATAGCTTCACCAGTGATGAAGTCCTTTCTGCTGGCATCACATGTTCACCTGAATTTTGACTACTAATACCAACAGCTCTTTCAAAGGGATGAATAGTGCATGTGAGACAGCATCACAATTTGTTGTATTCTGGGGCAATGAAATGACTTATATCTGGTTAGGACCCTGTAAAAGCTATATAGAACAGAATATAGTTTCCCCACCACCAAGGGTGGAAGGCAGATGCAGAAGTGGAAAGCTTACTGAATAGATGGGTAATAAAAAACATCTTTAATGAAAAAATATCTGGAGGATATTACTTAGGAAGCTGTTCGCACAGTGAAGAATGAAACAAAGCCTGGAGGAAAACGGAGCGTATTCAGATAATTCAGGAGTGAAAGAGACAGATGACGGGTAAAAGCAGAAAAAGAGCAAACACTCAAGAGAGCAATCTGATTACAGATTATTGTTCAAATCTGAGGAAAATCCAAACACTTTGCTGTCTTATGTATGCTTACCTTATTATTGATAGGAAATATAGCTTCTTTCTGTATACCTACATTCTACAGAAATAGTTGTCTTCTATTAAAACACACTTTTCCCTGAGAGCAAACATTTTCAAAAGAAAATTGATCATTTTCCTAATGACTTACTTGTCCACATTAGCAAAAATTCATTTGGCTTTTCAACACAAACTTGTCTGTGACATTTCTCATTTAAATATAATTCCAAATTTTCAAGCAAATGAACCATCATGTCAGTTACACATACAATTCTGCTTCTTTTTTATACGAGTCTATTTTAATTTCCACTGGAATCTTTGACTTCAGTGGTTTATGAATTTTAAATTGTCTCACAGAAAATATTAGTCATGTTTTTGCTTAAAAATCTACATACATATGCAGAGAAAATAATAAACTTTTAGCCCTGTCCCAAAGAACACCAGGTCTGTAAAGCACACAAAATGATTATGCTTAAGCCATGACAAAATACAAGCTTAAGTGTGTCACATTTTTCTTCTGTGGGGCAATGCATACCGGAAACTTGCATCCAAAACAAAGAATTCTGAATTCTCCTGGATACTGAAGCTAAAAAATTAATCTACTTCTAAACCTACTCTTTACATTTTAATGGAGTTACAAGTAACAGTAATTTGTACACTAGTGAGATTGGATTTTGAAGATTATTCTACTACACATCTGTCACAGTACACCTGTTTAATTGCAATTTTTTTTTTTTTTTTGTCATAAACTGATGATCTAAATAACACACACTTAGCTATTGTCACTTTCCAAACAAGCTGGCAGTGCATTTTCATGTATGACCCTATTTTTAAGGTATCTAAAGCAACTGATCTTAGAGCAGAAATGCACTTTCAGCTAGTATCCTATTGTGTGATCAGCATCTTTGTGACAAGCATTTTTTGTCATTTCAATGCAGTTGCTAGTGATTGCTTTTTTTTTTTTTTTTTTCCCCAGAATCCTAAAACGGTACTTCAGCTGCTAAAAAGTGACTACAGTACATATAAAGATAATCATGCTGATTGGACTTTGATGGAAGGAAGAAGAAAACACACTATCTATGATACTTTGGAAATACCTGGGATTCAAATATCACAAATGTAGCAACATAATTAATGGGACAGCCTACATCGACGTTCCTCAATGACCACTCTGCAGTTACACCGTGGTAGTGATGCTGCGGAGGGGAATGTTTTGCAGATAGGGAGTAAATTACGGGAGTGATGGAAAATGTGATGCTGGACAGAGCCCGCTCTGTACGAGCCGGGAGCACCTGCAGAGCATAGCCGCGTCAGACCGAGCGCACCCCGCCCCATTTGGTCCCGCTCGAGGCTGCGGGAGCGGCCGGCCGCGTGGTGCTGCCCACCGCACGGAGGCTCGGGGCGCAGGGCGCGGCGGAGCTTACCTGAGCACAGGCTGCAGGAGGCCAAGGCCAGCAGCACCACGCACACCAGCTGGGGTCTCATCCTTGCCGCGCCACTCTCTAGAAAGTAAAGTCCATAAATCCTGGGGAGAGACGGAGAGAGAGACAGACAGACACACAGAGAGAGCTCCGCTGCTCCGCGCCTCGGCACACACACTGGCGGGCGGCCGCAGGCACCAGATGGTGGACCCGGACCCTTCCCCAACTATATAAGCCTCGGGGTGATGTCACGGCGGTGCCGCCATCGCCTCATGGTGAAGAGCCCTCCCTCCCCCCCCTCGCCTCCCCCCCCCCCCTTCTTTCCCCCCCGCTCCCGCTGCCCCCCTCCGCCGCTCCGCACCCTCCGCCGCTGACGCCACCTCCCGCCTGACGCACGCGGAGCCCCGCGGGGCGCGCAGCGGGGCGCGCAGCATCCCCACTCCCACCCACGCGCCCGACTGCTCGTATCCTGGCAGCGACCTGCCCGCTGAGCTCGAAAAGCTCCCATCTACAGATATGATAATTATTTATGAAAAGAAAAAGTTTCCGCAGTTTCTCGGACACCTGCGCGTGCGATGCGCCGGGTCACGGGTTGCGCCGAGACGCGAGCACCTCGTGCGGCCGTCGTGGGATGTGCTTTGTCGTCTGGTTTGGCTTTCCCTGCAGCGTGGGGGAACACGGGGGAGACAACGGATAATAGAAACAAATGAAGTCTGTGTGAGAGAGAGAGAGAACGGGAAAGTCACTTGATAAAGGTTTTTCATAGGTGCAAAGAAGTGCTAACGTCCGCCACAATCAGACTACCCCTTCCGAAAAGAGAAACAGCTGCTGTTGTTTCAAGGAGAGTAAACGCTCCGTCAAGGCGTTTATCCAAAGGTGTAGGTGTTCTGCTTGAATTTCACGACATTGGTAAGACAACCCACTAAGAGGGGACTCTGCAGCCAGCGCCCGGAACGCACGAGCGCAAAAGCCGCGGGGCACCGCGGGACGAAGCGGAGACAGCACGGGGCGGACGGCGCTGCCCCAGGACGGGCGAAGTGGCAGCGAGGGAAGGGGGGCTGCCACTAACTGTCCCGGTCTGTCTTCTGCTTCCTAGAGACCGGCCGTAAAAAAAAATAAAAGGCACGGAAATTGTCTGAAATAGACGGTAGGGCAGGTTAACCTTTAACGTGGAGTGTGCAAATGAGAAGCTGAAGACTAGCATCAGCCTCCATCGCGGCGCTGCTCGTAGCATGATTTGTCTCAGATACAGAGAAATGCTCCATCTGTTGAATGGAGATATTACACTGCAGAACATTTTGGTCTCTGTGAATGCATTTAAGGACGAATGTACATGCCACATATAGCAGGAATGCACTCTGGTAGAATTCTGCTAGCACTAATGTTCTCTTCACTATAGAAAGTTTCCTTGGAAATTCAATGGTGATGGGTGCCTCTGTCCTTGTCTACCTTCTATTCCTGTCTGTGCCATGAAACAGATACCTCATTAACAGAAAACCTGCAGAAATTTCAAAACCCTGCTGCAGAGAACACCTGGTGGGAAGAGTTCAATTAACTGAATTCCTTCTTCCCTGAATCAACTTTTGTAACAGGATAAAATTTAAATTTGTAAGCTATTTTGGGTTGTAGATGCTTAAATGCATGCAAAAATACAGCTGAGTGCATTCCAGTGGTATTAGCTCTGTTTGTGTGTACTGGTGGGAACACATTTTCTGCCTTACTAAGAAGGAAACAGAAAGAAGGAAAAAAGGGAAGGGAAGGGAAGGGAAGGGAAGGGAAGGGAAGGGAAGGGAGAAAGGCAGACAGAAAGGCAGGAAGGCAGGAAGGCAGGAAGGCAGGAAGGCAGGAAGGCAGGAAGGAAGGAAGGAAGGAAGGAAGGAAGGAAGGAAGGAAGGAAGGAAAAATTTATCACATTGTGTGGGCTATACTAGTCTGCCAGAAAGTTTCAGCTACAGCTCATCTGCCTTAGCATGGGGGTTAGATGGCCACTCATATTCCCCTCCAGTCCCATTTTCTATTATTTCCGTGATGTAGAAAGACCAATCTGCAGCTGATTTTGCTCTGTGGGTGTTCTGCAGTTCAGGCAGCTCTATGAATGAGAATCATATTTCATAGGTATTTTCTAGTGCCTACTCTCTGTCACAGAGTTCCTCAATAGTGTAATTGCCCATATTCTTATGTAACTGGAATTTATAGGAATGACGTTTTATTTTTTTCCTCAGGAAGAGAGTAATTGCCAGTTTTCCTGCCATTAAAAAAAATCACCTAATTGCTTTAAAATAAAAAATAATAACCCTGGAATTCTAATATTTGTGCATCTTAGGAAATGACTGTATGTTATGTTATGAGCCATAATATTTCTTATAATTGTTCTGTTTTCACCTGTTTAGTTGTTGTTATTTTGTTGTTGTTGTTTGTTTTGTTTTTCCCAAGAGAAATGTAAAAGCAGAAACTTCAGTATTAAAAGTCTTTGCTTTCTCATCACGTTGAATGCTCTTCACACATTATCTTCAGATGCCCTAGATCAGGCATAACTGAGTTTGGACAATTACATTTTTTTTCCCCAATAGAACTAAACTATCTTCTATTTCCCAGATGTTCCTGTGATTGCTTTTTCTAACTCTTTTCTACATCTGTAGCTCCTTCTATTCCTTGCATGCTAGTACTTTTAAGCCTTTTAAAAATGAATGCCTTAAATCACCTTGTTTTCTGCAAGGTGAGAAAGAGCCTTGTTTTCTTGCAAAGGATTATCCCAGAAAAAACTTCTACAAGGAAAACAAATTCTTAGACCTCTTTCTATCCCTCTTTCTTCTTAAGTATTTCTCAGCTAGAGAAAACATGTATAGCTCTTCATTAACGTTAGTCCACTTGGGAATCATTTTATCTGCTTGCCCTCAACATGATTTAATCAGTCTATCCAGGCCCACAAATCATCTCCATTCACAACTGTGAGACATCTGAAGATAGTGAAACTATTAGGCAAATGGTAGATTCATTAAAGAACAGATATCTTTATTTCATCACTGGAACAAAAAAATATATCATCTCTACATGTGGATGACACCTAACACAAAAACTGTATGCACCAGAAAGGAGAGAACCACTCTGCCATAGGAAATACTGGAAACTATAATATGGTAGAGTCATTGTTTCCAGTTAGCAGTTTTATGCCTTAGAAACAAAAATAAGCACAGTGAGAATAAATGAGATCCAATTCAGGCTGTTTGTCTTTCGATATTAAATTATTAATTTGTCTGAGATTTTTGTGTTCATGTGTGGTTTTTGTTTGGGGGAGTGGAATGTTGTATCCAAACCTTCAGGAGATGTAACAAGTATGGAACTGGAAGATGAATCATTCAAGATTCATTCACCTAGGAATTATTTCACAAGTTTTTAAACAGCGCACTGGCTCAAGATGCTAGTTCATCATACCAAATTCAAATTTAGTTGATTTAGGTTGCTTTGCCCCTGCAGCAATTTGGCTACCAGCAGTTTAAGTTAATTTTCTTGATATAAAACTGGAAACATTAATTTCTGTCATGTCAGCTCCAGAAAAGTAGAGAATATCTGAAGTATAAAGTAGACAGTGCAGATGAGTTTCTCAGGTAGTTTAAGTCTGCAGCATCACTTTCTTTGTCACAAAATATGTCTAGGGTTTTTCATTCAGTTTAGTCAGGACAGTGATGCTCAAATTTTAGCACTGTGTTCAAATGCTGAAAGTCTTAAGACTCTGGAGACCATCTGTGCTGCTGCTGACAGTATCATAAAAAAACTCGGAAGTAAGGGAAGACATTTCACAAACTGGATCATTCCTAAGTAAATAAAAAATTAAGCATCCCCTCCATTCTAAACTCCATCTCCTTTACGCATTCTGTCTTATGATATTTGAAATTTGTGAGATTGTGCACTTTAAGGAAACACTGAAGATCCAACGGAATGATACCGAAATTTATTGCTGTAGAAAAAAAAAAAAAAAAAAAAAAAAAAAACCTAAAAGCAATCATTATCTGAATCAGATTTTTTTTTTCATACACAGCAAATCTATGACACATTTTGCAATGAGCTGCAAATCAGCACAGATTTATATACATCTAATGGCTAATTTCTTTAAGTTTTAAAGTTCCAGTGTCTGAAACTGTGAAAGAGGCAGTGAAAGAGGCACTCCTGTGCAGCCTCCGCATCTGAGGACTACATGTCTGGCAAGGTTTTTATTTGTGATACTTTGACACTTCAAATAGCAACAACATCTTAGTACCCCAAAGGCCCACAGTTCTCCAATCACAGAATATTTTAGGTGTTGTCATCTCAATAGAATGAAGTCTCATTTTTTCTTTTTTTCTTTTTTTTTAATTTTAAACATAGGCATTACATTTTTGAGACATTGAGATTCCCTAATCCTTCTGCTGGCAAAATAGATTCTGTCTTTATGACTGTAAAGCAAGTGTGGAACGTGTGCAGCTATATGTATGTGCAGTTAAAACTATTATGAACTGCCAAATTGTGAACCTTTCAGTCATATGTATGTGTAAATGTTTGGGCATTGTTTAGGAAAAGTTATTTTGGATAAAATAGGCTGGAAGAAAACTATCTTCCCTCCTACTCCTACTTTCCATTTTTTTTCTTTTACTGGTATCTTCATACTAGCAAGCAGTGCAGTTTAGAAGTGCCACCACAGTGTGTCATGGGAGTTATGCTTTGGACACCTCCTGCTCACTTTCACCTCTCAGCAGTGCATCCCCAGGCCAGACTGCATCTTTGTTATTTCTTGATTACATATTTTCTCCAAATAGCCAACTTAATCAATTTTTCATTTGTCTCCAGTGAACCATGAATATTTTAATGCAACTTTCAGCATGTAATATATACAATGGACATGGGTGAACAGCCTGATGTAACTCTATTGAAGACTGCGTGTTTGTGTGATTCCCTGTTTATCAGGGTGATTCTGCTTGAAAATTTTGTGCTAAATTGAAAGAGTGAAATGAAATTGATCTGAATTCAGAAGCGTGACTGCCTTTTTCCAACAATATTTTGATTTTGTCAACAATTGTCCCTCAGTTTTCCCTTGAACATGGCAACCAAATATATATGTAGTATTCACTGTTATATTGCAGTTACATAATGTAGGTAGGAATTGGACCCTGCACTGTGAAATTATTGAAATTATTCTATTTTGCTTCTTAGGCCACCTTCACAA